GGGGACAGTATTGCTTTTGTTCTTCCTCCAACTTCCCACATATATGAAGAACGACTTCTTGTCATCCTTGATTCCAGTGGCTAGCCTGAGTTTAGTTGCTGCCTTGGCTTTTCTGGACCACTCCCTACAGGTACGGGCTAGTGCAGAGTAGTCCTCCTTGGTGATGATTCCAGTTTTCCATCTGATGTAGGCTTCTTTTTTGTTTCAGGAGGCCCAGAAGTTCCCTGTTGACCCAAGGGGGCTTCCCTGCCCTTTGAGTGCATTTCCTGCGGGACGGGATGGACTTCCCTTGCGTTTTGAGGATTGTGTTCTTTAGGAACAACCATTCCTCATGGACTCCCCTTCCTAGGGAGCCATGGTCCCTTAGTGCCTGACTGACCAGTTCCCTGAGTTTGTTGAAGTCAGCCTTCCCAAAGTTGAGGATTTCTGTTTTACTGAGGGATTTGCCCACCCAGCATTGGACAGAGAAAGTAATCAGATCATGGTCGCTGTCACCTTTGATCCTCAGATCAGTCACCAGATCATCCCCTTTAACCAGAACCAGATCCAGCAGTACCTCTCCCCTAGTTGGCCTGTAGACCTCTTGCGTTGGGTACAGGTCATCAGTGCAGGTGAGGAAGTTGTGACCGGTCAGACCTGGCTGTGTGCTCTTCCCATAAGATGTCAGGAAGGTTGAAGTCTCCCATGACAATCATACATCGTGAACGTGCAGCCTCGGCCAGCTCCCTGTTGAATTCAAGATCTAGTTCTTCTTCTTGGTTAGGAGGTCTGTAATAGACTCCTACGAATATATACCCTTCCCCATGCTCTCCCCCCCCCCCCCTCTGTATTTTAACCCAGAGGGTCTCAAGACACCCTCCATGGTTAATTAACTCAGTTTGAAGGGAAGAGTACTGCTCCTTGACATAGAGATCTACACCCCCACCCCTCTTCCCAACACAAGCTCTCCTGTAGAGGGTATAGCCTTCTATACCTACCAGCTAGTTGTAGGAGGAGTCCCACCGGTCTCCGTTATCCCTTCAAGGTCATAATCTTCATCAACCAGAAGAGCCAGCTCCTCTTGCTTGTTACCCAAGCTCCTGGCATTTGTGTACAGGCAGTTGAGTTTCCTTATGTGATGGGACGTGACCTTTCCTTGAGCTCTCGTCAGAGTGGGTTCCCTTGTGCTATGTAAGCTGTTACTACTGTGATTGGCATGACCTGGGCTAGAACTGTTGATTGACCACCCACCCCCCTTTGATGGCATAATCATAACAGAATATGTTTGAGTTTGTGTTATGGAGTTTTTTTAGACCTCCAGATGTGGAAATGGGGAGGGATCTTGGGTCTTGAAGCATTAAGTAATGGTTGAAATTGTATAAGTAGCATATTTTTTTTTTATTTCCCTCATGTAGATTGGATAACAAAAGGAGAGTCTGATAGGGTGCCTTCTTGATTAATCTGGATATGTGGATGCAAGCATTTGGGTTAGACTTTAGAAGGAACTGTTTCTGTGCAGAAGGTAATTCCATTATTCAAGGGTTTGCTGGTTGCCTGTAGGAGCCAGGAAAGAATTTTTATTTCCATTATGAAGGCTTCATTTCCTCGTAGGAGAGGGGGTTGGGGGAGAACAGCATCCCCCCTCCTTCTGCTTTCTCAAAAGAAGTAGCTATTGGTCACTGAAAGTAGTAGTTCTGATTGACTGACTGTATGCACTAGTCCTTCTGTTAGTAGTCAGATGTATGGCTGGAGGGTTTTACTAGTCTGCTCAGGATCAAACATATTGACTCGAGGGGAAAAAATCCTTTTCTGATCCTTGGAGCTAACAGATTTAGCAAGGACTGTTGGAGGTTTTGCCTCCCTTTGTAGCATGAGGAAATATCCTAAAATCATTTAAGCCTATGTTAATGGAATAACCTTTACCATCACAGTGGCTAGCTTTGGTGGTATCCTTGTCTCCCATGCTTTTTATTTGTGGAATATTGTAGTGGTTTTTTGGGGGTATTTTTCATAAAAGGCCCTCATACGTATTACATTTAGGGTATATTACCTGGATTACATGTAAATTTGCAAATTGGCTTCTGATAAAAGAGGCAAGAGACAGGTCTGCAGCCCAACCTTTTATTGCTTACACCACAAAACACAAAAACAAACACTTATCCTAGTCTGCTTGCCTACCCATGAAAGCACAACAGAGATTATTACCTGTACCAGCTGGGAAGATTCAAAAGGGGGTAGAGGAGGGTGGCACAGAGACTGACAGCAGGACTGCTGTGATAGTTGTTAAAATATGCTTGAGAGATCCAAGGAAGAAGGTCATGCCTCCCACTGCAAAGGGAGGGAAAAACCAACAGACCATACCAATCTAACCATAGGATAAAATTCCTTCCTGGCCATAATACAGCAATCTGTCTGACCCTAAGCAGAGGGGCAAGACCCTCAGGCCAAAACCTCCAGATTTTAGTTTCATAGTATTGCCACACTCCCCCAGTCAAAATTTCCAGCTTTAACTATAGCCAACACCCAATGCTTCTGAGAGAGGCAAAAAAATAAAATAAAAAAAACAACCCAATGTGTAGTAGCAATAGGAAGGGAAGAAAATTCCTTCCTGGCCCCACGTAACAACCAGCAAAACCCAGAAGCATGAGAGATGCCCATAATATACTATCGGCATAGCTAATCCTACATCGCTCCTAACCAATGCTTGTCCAACCTCTTCTTGAACACCTCCAGTGATGAAAATTTCACAACTTTCTTAGGCAGTTTATTCCATTGTCTCATTATCCTAACAGTGAAGCAGTTTCTTTTGATGTTCAGTCTAACCCTACTTTGCTGTAAATTCAAGCCATTGGTTTAAGTTCTGCTCTCTGCAGCAAGAGAGAAACAGTATTTTCTTTCTTTTATAGAAGCATTTCGAGCATTTGAAGGCTGCTGTCATATCCCCTCTTAGATACCTTTTCCACAAGCTGAATGTACGAATTTCCTACAGCCTCTCCTCATATGACTTGGCTTTCAAGCCCTTTATCATTTTTGTTACCCACCTCTGAATCCCCTCGAATTTCTCCACGTCCTTTTTAAAACGTGGAGCCCAAAACTTCATGCAGTACTCTACAAGAGACCTAACCAGTCCAAGTGGAGAGGCACAATCACCTTCCGTGTCTTGCACCTAATGCTCCTGCTGATGCATCCCAAAACCTCATATGCCTTTTTGTGCAGCTATATCACACTATACACTCATATTGAGTCTACGATCCACCAAGATTTCTAGATTCTTCTCTGGTACTGCCATCCAGCTATGTGGTCCCCCGTTTTGTATTTTTGTTATTGATAATTCTTCTGAAGGTATAGCACCTTGCATTTGTCTCTATTAAACTTCATCCTGTTAGCTCCAGCCCAGCTTTCCAATCTGTCCAGATTCTTCTGAATTGTGCTTCTGTTTTCCACCATATGCACAGTCCTTTCTAATGTTGTCTGCAAGTCTGCTCAAGAAGCTCTCTATTCCAGCATCCCTGTGGGACTCCATTTGAAACCTTGTGGCATTCTGACACAGATCTGTTTATAATTACACTTTGATTGCAGCTATTGAGTCCATTATCTATCCACTTCATACTAGTTTTGTTTAACCCATATTTATCCAATTTTTTTGAGAAGGTCACGTGGGATTTTGCCAAAAGTCTTTTTGAAGTCTGGATATACTGTATCTTGCATTTCCACCATCCACCCAAGTAGTTACTATGTCAAAGAAGGAGATCAAGTTTGTTTGGCATGATTTGTTTGGCAAGTTTGTTTGGTCTTGGTTAGTAAGTCTATGCTGCTTCTTTATGATCAGCCTTGCCTTTTCGGGATGCTTGAAAATGGACTTCTGTATATGCTCCAGTTACTTCCCAGGTATTGAGGTGAGGGTTATGTAAGTGTGTCTGTAGCTCCCCAGGTCCTCCTTTTTGCCTTTTAAGGGCATTGTGTTGGCCCTTTTCCTGTTTTCATACTTAGGCATTTATGATGCCTATGCCTATGACACCTAGGGTAGCTGCTGGTAGGCTCTAGATCTCTCTTAAATCACCTTGCAGTGTAAACACTACTAGTATATAATAGGGGCGAGTTACTGTAATTATTGTGGTTCTTTGAGTAGATGTGATATCTTTTATTAGACTAACTGAGTAGTTGGAAAAAAGTTCTTAGTAAGTTATCGGGCACAGTCATCCTTCAGGCATAGGGAGTCTCTGCCGGTCTGAGACTCCAAGGAATAAGAGAAAATAAAAGTGTGGCAGGATGTCAGCAAGAATGTAAATAGGTAGGAATTAGAAAGACTAAAGGTAAAGCAGGAAAGGGAGGGGGGAAGAAAGCAGAGGAAAAAAAGCCAAAGGGAGACATTACAGTGATAGCCTCTTTTCTACCTTGTATTCTATCTGTGAAAAAGGAAATAGTTGGAGATCAGGAAAACAGGAATGAGAGAAGCTAAAAATGTGACAGGATATCAGTGAAAATCTAAATAGGTAGAAATTAGAAAAACAAAAGGCAAAGCAGGGAAGGGAGAGGGAAGAAGAGGGGGAAAGCCAAAGGGAAACACTACAGTGGTAATAATACAAGGTAAAAAAGAGGCTCTCTGAAAAAGAAAATAGTTGGAAATCAGGAAGACAAAGAAAAAGTAGGGGAGAGGACGGAAGAAAAGGTGGAGGAAAAGAAAAATGTAAACGGTCAGGTCAGGCAGGTACCTGGTGAATCTCAGGCAGGTACCTGGTGAATCGCATGTCAGGCAGGTTGTAATGTGTCATAAATCCAATCTATACTGAGTCCACAATTTTTGGTATCCAGTAGATTTATGAAGTGAAGTTTGTAGTCTCATCTACGAAAGATGTTTTGTAAGTTCCTTTTGAGGATTAGAATTGAGAGATCAGAGTGGGGGTGATTGTCCTGTGAGACGCATGTCCCCACGGGTAGTTGGGTATTCTTGCCTTTGTTCTTCGTGTTTGTGAAATATGGATCCTGATATGGTAATACTTTATTTCTTTTGTCTTAAATAGGAACGTCCAGATGATCCATGGGGCAAACTGCCTGTTAATATCTATTTTGATGGGGTATCACTTTCTTCTTTTATGGCATTCCACAAACACTGTGTCCTTGAAGATGATCAGGCTGGACTAGGACTGGTAGGTAAAATCCGATTTTAGTTTTTGCTGCTTTAGTGAATATAAAAGATGTCAGCCAGTGGTTGGTTTTCCGCATGTTGTTGTCATCCGCATGTTATAATTCTTTATTTAGTTTTACAGATGTATATGTTATTAGGATAAGAAATTATAAACGTTACTATGACCAGAATTCGTTGCCAGTAGACCAGAAAATTACTAGAGAATTATGAATTGTTTTTCTTTTTAATTCATCCTGTGTAAGAACAGTGGTTAGTAAACTGAAAATGAATATCGTCATTAGTGAATTTATTTTCCTAAAACAGATACAAAAAGGTGTATCAAAGAACTGTCATGAAAAAAGGTTTAGCCCAGGGGTTGGCAACCCCCAGCCCATGTGCCAGAGCATGGCACATGAAAACATTTTTCATGTGCCAGAGCATGGCACATGAAAACATTGGCACGTGCTCTTTAGAGCAGATGGCAGGGAAGGGGCTAGGGCTGCATTGCAATAACAAGGATCAGGCCCCTTCCAGCTCCCCCACTCTCCGCCCCAAGATGCTCATGCACCTGCTGCCAGCAACAAGCCAGGCTGGGGCTCTGCAGACCCGGGTGCAGCTTCTCCACTGCCTGCTGCAAACAACCTGGGCTCTATGGCAGGTGGCAGGGGCCTGCCCAGAGCCCAGGCCAGCTGTGGCAAGCTGCTAGGAGGCTGCAAGTGGCTGCAGTGTGGTCCGCGGAGCTCCAACCCAGCTTGTTGCCAGCAGTGAATGCACACACACCTTGGGGCAAACAGTAGGGGAGCTGCAAGAAGCCCAATCCTTGTTATGGCAATGCAGCCCTGGCCTCTTCCCCACTGTCCAGCCTGAGATGCGCATGTACCTGTTGCCAGCAATGAGCTGGACTGGGGCTCTGTGGACCCTGGTACAGCCATTTGCAGCCTCCCAGCTGCCTGCCACAGCCAGCCTGGGCTCTGGGCAGGCCCCTGAGCCCATCCCTGGCACACCAACATCTTACTTATTTAACTGACTTTGGAGATGCACCAAAAGAGATAACTAAATGGAAATTTGACTGAAACTTGATATAGCACATTGTAGTGCTGTGAAGAAAAAAATAAATAGCTGTGTTTTGAGCACTGTGCTAAAATGGCTTTGCCGCTTCCGGTGTCTCAACTAGCTGGGAGATCTCTGCACTCCACGCTGCTGTGCCATGTATACATACCCAAAGTGTGTTGGAAAGTTTTGAAAGAAGGCTTCAGTAGACTTTTGGAGAAAAGCTGTTGTGAAATAGCTGGCCAGGAGAAACACATTCTGAGAGAAGCAATAGTCTCATGTAAGCAAGACTCTGGGGTCAGTGCAGGGGTTGTACTGGTCTTTGCACCAGTGGATAGACAGCTTACACTTGGAAAAAACTGTGTTTAAGATGTAAACAAAAGTTTGTCCATCCTCACTGGAAAGCAGTGCCTTTTTTATGTACAGCTTTCCTTCCTTGTAATGAAATTGGCCTGATTCTGTAGTTCTGTCAGACAAAATTGCCATTGCAACTCATTGAGAATTTTGCCCTATTACAAACTGCAAAATCATACTCAAAAGCCTACGTTCATTTTGAGCATGTGCTTAACTCCTGTTGATTTTATTCCCATCCTTTCCTGAATTGAGGTCTATAATGGGAACTAAAGAAATGCTGCCTTATTATATAGTAAGTATAAATTATCTCTGCATATTTCAAATATTTCTAAAGAACCTGTTACATACAATGGTATATATGCTACTTTCGTTATAGGAAGTCATAAATTGCAGTGAAAAGTATTTGGAGGACAACTTTGAAATCAGCTTTGAAGTAAGTTTCAGTGTTCAATTTCTGTTTCATTTTTGTGGACTTATCCTTATCTCAAAACATAATTACCTTACCTAATAATTTGGACTAGGTCATCTATATCTGTTTCATTCAGATCCCTGCTAAGGACTTGCTTCTTTCTTGAAATCTACAATGGGGTGAAGTAGAAATATTTAACTTAAAGAAAAAAAATCCCATTAACTTTTCTTTAAGCTATCAACATATCTCAACCGTAAACTTTTTGCAGCAGGAACTCTTGATAATTTTCTTGTGTAATACCAAGTCTCATTACTCACATAATATATGTTCAAGGGTAGATCTTACATAGGTGCATACGTACCTCATGCATAAGATATCAGAAAGATGGATGCATAGGTATATATCTTCTGTCTGGGAGATTCCCCTAGCAGATGTTTGGTCATCTCAACAAGCTCCACAAGGGCACATAAATTGTGAGGCTAAAATTCCATCTTCTGCAACAGTTATGAGACTGAGGAAATTAACTTGAATTCAGTTAATATGCAAAACATCTTCATTCAGTATCCCATCCAGTTGGCAAGCAACACTAAAGATCAGTGTTGCCTTTCTTAATACACTCAGATGATTGATATTAAATTAGATTACATGGAGTGTTAATCATTGGGGTTGCCAGCCCTATGATAGATCATATTTATTTGCACACTACATGCACCTTCCCCCTCAAAATCAGTCCTCCATATTTGAGAGATGTTTTATTAAGTGAGGAAACTGGTTTCTGCACCGAAATGGAGGCACGGGGATGCTTGAATGGCTGCCTGGGGTTTTGGTCCTTTCCTGGCTGCATGCGGGAAGGGCAGAATCCAGTCCTCAGTGGGACTTATCCTCTCTTAGTAGCTGCACATAGACAGGTTTAACCCTGTCACACCTTTGCTAAATTGTCAGTAGCTCACTCTGTAGCATCATGGAAGCCCATCTCTTTAGGGCAGAAATTTCCAGCTTCCACTGTAACTCCTATTTGACTCTGAGGTCCCTAGCAGATGGTACACTTAAGATTTGATTAACAAGTTAATCATGTCTTGAGTACCATATTTACTCAAATATAAGATGACCCTGATTATAAGATATCACGCACAGGGTCCCTAGGGATGTCCATGATATTCCTAGGGCTCTGTGACTGTGCCTGCTCTGCCCGAGGGTGCCTTCTAGTCTCGCCTGCCACATGTTCTTGGAAAAAGAATAAGTAGGGAGGCTGCCCACGAGTTTGTGTAGCCATGGTCCTGTTGAACCCTACTAGACCCAACAGGTTCTTGTGCCCCTTGCTGGGTCTCACCCAAGTCGGTGCCTCATGAGACACCATAAGCCTTATGGGCTGATTGCATGGCTCCAAACCTCCCCATACTACGTCCCATGCTTCACAGGTGTTATACGAATGTTGGGGCTTCGACCTACTTGGCCATGGCCTCTTTAATGTGGCTCGGCCTTCTAGCCTAAGGCCACTGTGTTGGATCTGGCTTTGAGGTGCTAGCTCTCTGTTGTGCCCCTCTGGCGCCAGGCTCTCTGGCACCTTATATGCTCTATGCTTTGTATGCACCCTCCCTGTACAGGCTGTGTAACAACTCAAGCACCAAGCCAGCTGCTGACGTGGCCCAAGTCAATCGTGTGCCTCCTTTGGGCACTGAGGCCTCCATATCTCCCCTCACAGCCTCATCCCAAACTATCAGTTCAAAAGACAACACAAACATCAGCCCCCGGGCTATAACTTAACAATAATGATGGGGTCACACTCTGCCCCTTTGAGAAGGCAAACTTCTCCCCTAGTCTAGCATGCTACTCTACCCAGGGTACCTTATGAGTCCTGCAGGCAGCAAACCAGACAACCATACATCTAAGGGCAGCTCTTTCATGCAGCAGCTCCTTCCTCTGGCGATTGCCAGAGAATTAACCCCTGCCAGCCCAAGCCAAGAGACTTGTATGTTTCCCAGGGGCCTGCCTCCTTCCGGTCAGCTGACTGCATGCAGGTGCCAACTAATTCCCTCATTAGCCTGCTGCTTAGGCAACCTACAGGGCTCTCTGGCTAGGCTGTTTCTGCCCTTAAAGGAGCAGGCACATCTTAGTGCCCTGGGACATAAGATAACCCCCCAATAATTCGATTCTATATATGAAAAGTTGATAAATTTGATATAGTTTTCCAGATATAGAATCTTATTATTGTAGGTTTGTATTGAATTTGTCAACCTTCCACTGCTACAGTAGGGATAATAAATCTGGGGGGGTCGTGTAGCTCCTGCCCCCTCCTTACTGTCACTGCTACACTACTATGCTCCCTGAGTACATGGAAGTGAGGAACAAAACTGAAAAAACTGATCTTGAAATAAACATAGCTGTAGTAATTTGCATATAGTACCCATAGACTTAGTTCATCCAAAATTGATACATTTTACCATTTTTGAAGCTGCTGCAAGTTTTTTAGCACGTTCTCCATAAACCCCCCCTTTAAATAGCACCTCTATTTACATATAATACAGACTTTGGGAAGGCATTTGACACTGTCTCTCACCCCATCCTCATTAAAAAATTAAGTGGCTGTGGTGTCAATGCCTACACAGTCAGATGGGTCACAAATTGGCTGGAGGGCCACACCCAGGGAGTGGTGGTGGACAGGTCGTTTTCGACCTGGAGGGACATAGGCAGTGGGGTCCCCCAGGGCTCAGTCCTCGGGCCTGCACTGTTCAATATCTTCATCGGCAACTTGGACGAGGGGGTGAAAAGCACCTTGTTCAAGTTCGCAGATGACACCAAGATGTGGGGAGAAGTGAGCATGCTAGAAGTGATGGGAGCCCAAGAAGGGTGGCTGTGCCTTAAGGAAATGATCCTTCGGGCACAAAGCAAGACGATCCCCCGAGCGAGGCAAAAGGGGGAAAGGGGCCAGGAGGCTTCCCTGGCTGACCAGAGAAATCCAGGGCACCCTAAGGGACAAAAGGGGAGCACATAAAAAGTGGAAACAGGGAGAGATCACCAAAGACGAATATACCTCCTCTGCTCGTGCTTGTAGGGAGGCAGTTAGACGGGCCAAAGCTGCCATGGAGCTGAGGATGGCAACCCAAGTAAAAGACAACAAGAAATTGTTTTTTAGATATATAGGGAGTAAAAGGAAGGCCCAGGGAGGAATAGGACCCCTGCTAAATGGGCAGAAACAATTGGTGACGGACAGGGGGGACAAGGCT